GGTTGGCACCTTTGGGGAATGGGTACCTGAATTTGACAGGTACTCGCTCCCGCTGCGATCACCTAAGGTGAACGGAAGTGGAAGTTGTCCTCCTCCCTTCCTTGCCGTAGTCTTCTGGGACATGTGACAGTTCCATTCACAACATGCAGCGCTAGTCACGCATGCGCAGTGGGCACCCAGCTGTGAAGCCACAAGTTGTCACACCCAGGTGCCCACACTGAAGATGCCATAACCGGGGAGATAAGACGGCCAGGGAAACCAGCTGTGGTGAGGACACCACTGGACCAAGGGACAGGTAAGTGTCTGTATTTTAAAAGTCAGCAGCTAGTTTTTGTAGCTGCTGACATTTATTTTTTTTTTAAATCAACTGGAACTCTGTTTTAACAAGCAGTAAATGAGCTTTACAACATGTCCTCACTGACCTCTCTAGCTGCTTTTAATGTAAAGTTATTAATGATCAAAATCACAACCAAGAGTCTTATTTTATTGGTTCTGACAGCTGTCAGGCTTGTTCATGCCAGAACATGGTGCGTGAAACCCTCATTCTGTTCAAAATGCACTGCAGTTGCGATCTGCAGCAGGTGTAAAGGTTAACTTTGACGTTCCAAATGCAGTGCATTTGCCTACACTAGATTGCATTGTACAGTAATATCATTTTATCTGGTTGCTACGAGTTTTTTAAGGCAGTGCATGCACTACTTTTAGTGCGGTAAGGCGCAATTTCAGCCTGTTCAAATTAATGGACTGAAATCGCACTACTCCCTGATTGAATGTGAATTGAAGAAAAAAAAAAAAAAGCTAAGATTTAATAGCACAATTATTAGGCAAGTTGCATTTTTGAGGATTAATTTCATCATTGAACTACTACAGTGCTCTTTGTCAATCCAAAATGTTAAGCATTCAGGTTTGAGGTTTATTAAGTAAAAGTGAGGTTTTGGTTTTCTTAGGAGAATATCTATATGTGCACAATTACTGGTCAATTATTAGTGTGCAGAATTATTATGCAACTAAATAAAAAATTAAAATTTTCCCATCTCGCTTGTTTTTTTTTTTCATCTGTTAAAGTGAGAATAATAAACAACCTAAAATTTGCAAATAAACATTTCTGACATTAAAAAAAAAAATCAGTGACCAATATAACCACCCTTCTTTTAAATAACAGTCATAAGCCTTCTATCCATGGAGTCTTTCTTGATCAGTTGATGATCAACTTTTTGTGCACCAGCAACCACAGCCTCCCAGACACTGTTCAGAGAGGCGTACTGTTTTCCTTCACCATAAATTTCCCGTTTAAGAAGGGCCCACAAGTTCTCAAGTAATGAAGGGGGCCATGTCATTATTCTTTCATCTTTAAGGCCTCTACTGGCTAGCCATGTAGTGGAGTTCTTCGATGCATGTGATGAAGCATTGTCCTGAATTTATATCATGGTCTTCTTGAAAGATGCAACCTTTTTCCTGTACCACTGCGTGAAGAACGTGTCTTTTAAAAACTGGCAGTAGGTTTGGGAGTTGATTTTGAGTCCATCTTAGGCATGAAAAGATTCAACGAGCTCATCTTTAATAATACCAGCCCATACCAGTGCCCCACCTCCACGTTGCTGACGTCTGAGTCAAAGTGGAGCTCTGCTCCCATTACTGATCCAGCTACGGGCCCATCCATCTGGTCGTCAAGAGTCACTCTCACCAGTCCGTAAAACCTTTGAAAAATCTGTCTTCAGATATTTCTTGGCCCAGTCTTGACATTTCAACTTATGTGTCTTGTTCAGTGGTGGTCGGGTTTCAGCTTCCCTTACCTTGGCCATGTCTCTGAGCACTGAACACCTTGTACTTCTGTGCACTCCAGGTAGGTCAGTTCTGGAAAATGACAGCACTGGAGGATAATGGGTTCCTGGCAGCTTCACTTTTGATTCTTCTTAAATATTTGGCAGTTAATTTGCGACTTTTTTTCTCAACATGTTTCTTGTGACTCTGTTGGCTATTTGCAACAAAACGTTTGATGGTTCTGTGATCACGCCCCAATATCTTAGCAATTTCAAGAGTGCTGCATCCCTCTGAAGGACTCATTTACAAGTCAGTTAAATCTCTGTTTTGGCCCATTTTGCCTGAGGAAAAGAAGCTGCATAATAATTATGCACACTTTGATATAGGGTGTTAGGCCACACCCTCCATCATTCCACAAATATATATAACCTAATATGCTTAAATCCAATAAGCATTCAAGTGTATACAGCTTGGAGTTGTAATATTTGCATAAAAATGATGGTCAAAATACTTGCCTAATAATTGTGTACACAGTGTTATGAAAATTATTTTCTCCACATTGCTTATAGGTATAGAGATGAAGAAGGGCTTGTTTTAATGCAGTTTTACTGCTTGTTAAGAATATATAAGTACTTTTATGTGCATGATCTGAGCATAAAGTCACTTTAGGCTAAGTGAGATATTTGGAGAGCAAGTGGCTACATAGATGTGATTTCCAGATGGAGCCATTACTTCAATTATAAGCAAAGAAAAGGCTGCTTTTCTCTGCTTATATTCTTCCCTGATGTTCATGGATGACAAATATTCACATATACAATAGAGGTAGTCATACTAGAAGTATGCAGTGGGTATAGAAAATAATCACCCCACCCCCCCCTTTAAAATAATCACATTTTATTGCTTTGCAGCCTGAACTGAAGACTGTCACAGTTTTTGTTTTATCCAGCTGTATTTACTTAGTGCAACTTATAATATTCAAGTGAAAGATATATCATCATGTCTGAAAAAAAGAAAAATCAAAAACAGAATCACTGAGTTGGAAAAAGTATCACATCCCCTCCTAAAAATGACTTGTTAACTTAATCAGGTGTAGCTAATCACCTTCTCAATGGCACACAAAGACATTTGACTTTTAACTGTGATCAGATCTGGTCATTGTGATTAGCTCAGCTTGAAAACAGCTTTCCTGGAGCATTTCTGTCCTTGGCAGCGCAACTGAGACAAACATTCAACTATGGGTAGAAAGGCACTGTAAACAGATCTCCGGGACAAAGTTGTGGAGAGGCACAAGTCAGGAGATGGATGCAAAAATAATAAGTAATAATAATAAGTCTATTATTAAGAGGTGAAATGTATTTGGTACAACACAGACCCTCCCTGGATCAGGACATTGCTCCAAAATGGATGAAAGAGACAGGAGGAAATTGGAGAGGATACCAAGAGGCCTACAGCAACTCTGAAACAGTTGCAGGAATTTATGACAAAGAGTGGTCATTGTGTGCATGTGACAACAATATCACAAATTCTCCACAAATGTGGTTTGTATTGGAGGGTTGCAAGAAAAAAAAGGCACACCTTAAGAAAGGCCGCATGCAGTCACCACTGAGCTTTGGCAAAATACACCATGAAGATTATGAGGCCACATGGAAAAAGATGTTATGGTCAGATGAGACTAAAATTGAATTATTTGGCCTCAACACCAAATGATATATCTGGCGGAAATCCAATCCAGCTCCCCATCCAAATAACACCATTCCTACAGTAAAGCATGGAGGTGGTAATATCCTGTTATGGGGAGGGTGGGTTCTCTGCAGCAGGGACTGGAGCACTTGTCAGCATAAAAGGAAAACTGGATGGAGCAAAATACTGTAAAATTCTTAAGGAAAATCTGCTGCCCTCTGCCAGAAAGTTGTCAATGAGAAGAAGGTTTACCTTCCTTCAGTGATTGAAGGAGAAAAAGATGAATGTCCTTGCATGACCGACTCAGAGCCCAGACCAAAACCCCATTGAAAATCTGTGGAATGACTTAAAGACTGCAGTCCACAAATGCTCACCTCAAATTTAACTAAACAGTTCTGAAAGGAAGAGTGGGAAATATTGCAAATATTTGCAGATGTACAAAGCTTGTATAGACATATCCAGACTAAAAGCTGTAAATAAAGCAAAAGAGTTCAACAAAATACTGACAGCAGGGGGTTATCTTTTTTTTCCAACACAGTGACTCTGTTTTTGAATAAAAAAAAAAAAAAACACATTTCTGAAATGTTGGTATTATATCTTTCACTTGGATGGTATAAATTGCACTGAGTAAATACAGCTTGATAAAACAAAAACTGTGTCTGTCTTCATTTACGGCTGCAAAATAACAAAATGTGATTATTTTAAGGGGGGGTGATTCTTTTCTATACCCTCTGTACATGCAGTTCTAATATGACTTCTTTCATTGTCCCCAGCTCATTAGGCAGTTTAGTCTAGAGAAACCTAATAAAAAATACAGGACAGTTATATTGCTTGACCAGTGTATGTCCATTATAACTGATTTCACTGCCGCAGCTCTAGAGGTAAAAATTTATAGCAATCTTATATCAGCATCAACCCTGTATGGGGTTTTTTTTTTTTTATATATTCTGAAAGGACTTTTTTTTTTAACAAGGATCAGTGTTCCTACACCATCAAAAGCTGCAAAGCATTGTAAAATGACATTCCAACCATTTAAAACCTATTACATCAAACATACAGCTTATAAAAACTTACTGGGCTAACAAATAGGCACACCTGACAGCATAAAACACCAATGATCTAAGCCAGAATCCTAAGTGTACATGTAGCATAGGACTTCTAGTAGTAAAATTGATAAAAATACACTCTGTACAGTATTAAAGTAGTATCATCAATTGCAAGGTAATATACTAGTAAAACTATAAATTATCTAAGTAAAGGCAACATTGGAAAAATCCCATGATTAAAGATGTGTTTCATCATAATATAGCAGTAAATTTTAGTCTTGGTGCAAATCTTGTCTTATCAAAGAGAGGATCCAGGAGTCAATGGGTATAAAACATGTCCATGAATCTGCAGTAAAATGAGTGTATGGAGAAGCTATGTATTTGTAAGCATTGTGATTCCAAAGTTAAAAACATCTGTAGTTCCATCCCCAGAGATAAAATCCATCCCAGTAAACGTCAAAATGTCATAAAAATCCTAATGTAGTGATTGGGTGCTTAGTTGCTTTGCCTTAATCAGGATGCAAGGCTCGACAAAATATTGATTAAATTGTCAAATCCATAAAGGTATCCATCTTCCCGGTTTCCTTCTTGCCAAGGTATACGGTGGTTCAGGGTTTGGCCTTCTGGCAGGAGTGTTGTTTTTCCAAAATCAATCAGCCATACATTACACTTTCCTTTCTTGTCATGTACAAACAGCAAGGAGCTTCCAATCACCTACCAAAAAATGTTCATACATTAGTGGCATTATCAACCGACAATGTATTAAATATAAATGGCTGTAGGTAGGTAAACTTAGAAAACGAAGGGTGAGAGGTTCCATTAAATAGATGGAAAACAAAATACCTGGATATGTCTTAAAACTGTGAATATTAATAGCAGACCTAAAGAAAGTGAATCCTAAACTGGAACCATAGCCTTACAATTATACAATTGTTAACAAGCAAGTTCTTATTGTAAAGAGACTCTGTGGTGGAGATTTACTAAACCTGGTGCCCCTGTCCATGGTAGCCAATCAGCTTCTAACTTCAGCTTGTTCAGTTAAGCTTTGAGGGAAAAAACCTGGAAGCTGATTCATTTCAATGTGGCGTTTTTATTATTTATTTTTTAGTATATCAACCCCTGTATGTCTCTTCTAAAATAAAAACTCTTCTGCCTGTCATTCTCCGTATGTTTTGGGTTCATGAATTAACTCTATTGCACATGTCTGAAAGTCATGTCATTCTGGGCCAAAAAATTAAGATGGCTGCACATTTATAAAATCACAACAGTGAGCTTTAGTAACGTGCATTGTGTTCCTACCGCTTAGAGATTCCAAAGCCAGTGAAGCACAATAAAATTTAATTAATGGGAGCATAAAAAGGAAGTCAAATTCCTTACACTCTTCAAATCTTGGCATTCTCTCTGCTGTGATAAGTAAAGTATCATAGGTTCAATACCACAGCCCACATTTTATCAATGGGCTGCAAGTATTGTAATCTTGTGGAGTATATCTGAAACTAGATGGTCATATCCATTCTTGTTATAAATCATGATATATCAGGAAAAAATATTTGGGATAAAATTCTTTAAAATGTATGGATACAATTCTTTAAAATTATTAGTGTTAGTGTTGTGATGTAGAAGTGACGCCTCATTTTTTTCCCCAAAAATTTAAAAAAAAAAAAAAAAAAAAAAAAAAGGTCTTTTAGTTTCCCCAGACAGTAAAAATACAGACCTTGCTGTACCTCCATCCCCATTCACCAACATCAATGCTGCAGTGATGTTGCAATGCTTCGGTTTTGTGAATGGTCACACGCAAATATGTTGTTTATTATACATGCAGTGCCGATGTAAACAGAAGATGGAGGGGCAAAATCTCTTTGGCAATAATTGGCACCCAAAAAAGTGTCCACATCCTGTGCTGGCATAATGGCCACACGATAAGAAAATCGTACAAAAATGTACGTATGAGGAACGATCGGCCGATCATCTGATCATTAGTTTAGTGCTGTCAACAGCCGACTCCGACTTTTTGGACGAAAAAAACCGAGGGTGCAAGCTAGAAAATGTTTATCGTATGTGAGCACAACGTCCAATTTTTGCTTAATGTGTACAGTATTCGTACGGAAATAACTGATTTAAAAAAAACGTGCATGATCAGCAGCAAGGAACGACCCTACACCACTTCTACTATAGTACACACCTACGGTTGCCTAAGTTTGCCTTTGTCGACTGAGAATTTTCTTACAAGTCAATACCATTCCAACTACATCATGATACACACTTTTGTGGAAAATCGGATGATCAGTTATCTGATTTTCTCATAGTATGTACTAGGCATTATTCAAGATTTTGTATTTTCCCTCACTGTGTCCTGTTGTCCACTGTTGCCAGGAATAAAACTCACTCACTGAGCATTAAAGTGTAGTTAAATGCTGCATTTTAGCAATAGTCCACAATGAAAGTATTATTTTTTCTTGGAATTTTAATACTCTATTACAAAACATTATTTTTACCCCAATAATTTAACTCTGCAAGCATATGTAATATAAAAGGAAGGAAAAGCTGATGGCCCCTCACCTCATGATGTTTGAAGAAATCTGAAGACTCTACAATTGCTCTGATCTCCTGCAGTCGATTCAGATATTTTTGCTGTGGAAAACAAAAAACATGCATATTATAAACATACTTTGACTTTTAATTGAAAGCAGTGTCAAGAGCAGGGTTCCTCCAGAGGTTGCTAGGGGTTCCTTGAGCAATGAGAAATTTCTGCCTCTCAGATAAGTTCCCACTGACATAATAGATCTTTTTAGCTATCTGTAAGGGTTTGTCCACACTTGACTAAATTTCTAACTCTTAACAAACGCTGCTATAGCATTAGTATGGGCATTAGACAGGCATTAATGAGCTTTAGTATGGACGTTAGACTGGCGTTTTACAAGCGTTAATACTCCCTAAACATCCTATGCAAGGTTTTAAAGCGTTTATAGGCATTTTACAGGCATTAAAGCCACACCGCAAATGCCTATAATAAACTGTAATGTAAATAACTTGTCGCAACCGCACTGTAAAACGCCCAACAAATGCCTGCCAGCGCGTTTGCAGAGCGTCACTATAGACTTGAATGGGAGGCATTGAAAGGCTTCAGACTCGTCATGAGGCTTCAATTTTGAAGCGACGCGACGCTAATACTTCATGTTTTGATAATGTGCACAGCACTGTGTACTGTCCATAGTATCATTTGCATAGGTGTTTGAGGAGTGTTAAAAATGTCCTTCAGATGCCTGCTTTCAATGTCAGTGTGAACTAGGCCTAAGGGTGGGTTTCTTCCCAATGGCCAAAGTGTAAGGCACATTCTTCCCACTGACCATCACACTAATGTATCATGTGTTGTAGATATAATAATTTTAAACAGGGGTTCCCTGAGACCAGAAAGTTATTTTAAGGGTTCCTTTGTATTGAAAAGGTCAGGAAAAGCTGGTCAAGAGCATCAATGATGTACAAACTTTACATCCGAATTCCAGCTTTTGCTACACTTTACATAGTTCATTTGGGCCAAGTTCTTGTCAACTTTGTCTGTCACTAATATGTGAGGCCGCTGGATGTGCTGTATAATCTGTATGTAGCTGAGACTACATACAGAATACAGCCCTGTGTTCCAGGTGCGAGCAGAGACCTTCCTGTCTCAGACCCGGAACACACAGATTCTGCCTGAGCGACACTCGGCCAATCATAGAAAGTAATGTATTCTAGCAATGAATACAAAGCGTCCTCTGATTGGCTGAGTCAGAGAAGTGGACGGATGAGGTCACAACCTCATCTAATCAGAGGAAGCTTTGTATTCATTGCTAGAATACATCGCTTGCTATGAGTGGCTGAGCGCCGTTTAGACGGACTCGGGTCTTGTTCAGAAGAAGGCAATCACTGAAAGTCTGCTGTCCCCAGCTGCGGAATGAATCCTCCTGTATCAAGACACTCATGAGGGAGCAAGTGCAATGGACTACATACAGCTGTCTCCTAGGATGGATCGTCCTGTATCAAGACACTCATGAGGGAGTAAGTGCAATAGACTACATACAGCTCTTTCCTAGGATGAATCCTCCTGTATCAAGACACTCATGAGGGAGTAAGTGCAGTGGACTACATACAGCTCTTTCCTAGGATTTGCCACTGCAAGGCTGCATGTCTATTCCTGCAATGGAGAAGTAATACACTCTTCAGAGAGATCTCTGTATAAAGCCCGGCTGATTTATATTTCTGGTGAGTGCATAGTGGTGGAGGATTGTCACGGATGTACTCTGCACGGATGTCACTTCAACTTTTTGGTCATTATTGATTTTTATCAACACTGAAGGACACTTCACTCTTTGGACTTTATTTATGGTTATTTCCACTTATATGTTTGATTTCTAAGTCTACATAGCGATTTTGTTTTTCACATATTTTATTGTAGAATATATAATCGCTGCACCTTTATACATATTTATATTTTTGTGGATGAAGTGGGCTCACCTATTTGTGCTAGCTGCTCTCTTGTTTGTTGTTTCTAGCGCTCACTAATATTTGACACTTTTTCCATAAATATATGGATGAGAGAGTTTGGGGTGGAGGAACTTGACTGGCCTGCACAGAGCCCTGACCTCAACCCAACAGAACCCCTTTGGGAGGAGAGGAGACTGTGAGCCAGGCCTACTCGTCTGACATCAGTGCCTGACCTCACAACTGTGCTTCTGGAAAAATGGTCAAATAATCCCATAGACACATTTCTAAACCTTGTGGACAGCCTTCCCAGAAGAGTTGAAGCTGTTATAGCTGCAAAGGGTGGGCCAACTCAATATTGAACCCTACGGACTAAGACTGGGATGCCATTAATGCTCATGTGCGTGTAAAGGCAGGCCGACCAATACTTTTGGCAATATAGTGTATGTAAAGTGTAACAAAAGCTTGAGTTCAGCTTTAACAAAATCAGACTTCGGTTTACTGGAGTGAGAACAGTGAACAGTAAAGTTTTATTGGATGCCATAGATATTTGTACTTTGCATTCTGCTCTTTTTCTTTCTGAGTATACAGTACCTTAGGGCAACAAAAGACAAACTAAGTCATAAAATCCTAACTTTTCTTAATGTCACAGTTACCAGAACACTGGATACTCCTAGAGTGGTACAGAAAAAAAATGAGAATCTTCCTTGAATGAGGCATTGGGTTTAATTTACTAAAGGAAAATAGACTGATCACTTTGCAAGGGAATTTTCCCTAACGTGGTGAAGTTTGACTCCATTACCTTGTTACGCAGGACGTTTGACAGTTCTTTTCTGATCCCCATGGCTCAGTATCTAGCCTAGTCAGTGCTTCCATGTAAGAGCTAACAAACTCATTGACTATTTATACACTGAAACTAATTGCAATTTAAAAAGCCACAGATGTGGAACATTAACCTCTAATTGGCATTTTAACCCGTGTGTGTCACCTTTGTGTGTCTGTACCAAGGCCAAACATTCCAGGGTATGTAAACTTTTGATCATGGCCATTTGGGTGATTTCTGTAATTATGATTTAAAAAGGAGCCAAACAACTATTTGATAATATATGATCATCATCCTTCAATAAAAAAGCATTTTTGGCATGATCAGTCATATTTTCAATATCAATGCCAAAATATCACAATTTCTGCCAGGGTATGCAAACTTTTGAGCACAACTGTAAGTGTTATATTAACAGTTTAAGTAAATAAAAACACACAAGCTTTCCTTTTACACTGTCTATCAAGGTAACTTACCGGTATAACTTTGTTGTCATCAATAAATTCAAGAAAAGCTTTATGAATTTGGTCTCTTGATTTCGTGGTCTTGAAGTTTGTGTTGCATGTCCCATCACCTTTCTGCAAAAGAAAAGAAATGCTTTCAGATAAAAGTTTCTTTCCCAGTAATTCAAACAGCTGTGGGTGATGAGCAAATTTACTCACACAAAACTGCGCTGACACCCCTAAAGCCTGTGTTCCCATTCTAGCGTATCCTGTGTGTCGAGCTTGCGTGGGTACAGTAGCCTACTCATTTGAAAGGGCTGCTCTACCTTATGAAATGCAGGGAAAAAGTCCATGCACCTTTCCTAAAATGCAGCTGCACAGAGCACCTTGTGGTATCATGCACTCAAAAAGCTGTGCTTTCCAATGTAAGGGGTGCCATTAACAATCAATGGCACCTATGTATGTCTGCATAAGAGCAGCACATTTTGGCTGCAAGTGTGGTACAATGTGTGATTTATACACCGTCCAGCACCTGCAACAGTGTGAACCTAGCTCAAGCCCCAAGCAGCTAGAGAAGGCCTACCTCCTCTATATAAACCAGAGCTAAATGTTTATTTTCCTATGCAGTGGGGCTGTGCCCCGCCATATTGTTCAGGGGCGCAAGGAAAAGCTATACTAATGTAGTGCCCCTTAAACACTTGCCAACTAGGCACTTATACCCCCTTCCTGCCCAGGCCAATTTTCAGCTTTCAGCGCTGTTGCACTTTGAACAACAATTGCGCAGCCATGCAACATTGTACTCATAAAATTTTTATCATTTTTTTCACACAAAGAGCTTTCTTTTGTTGGTATTGCTGCAACACAGGCAGCCATCAAAGCCTACACATACCTTTTTATGACCACTCTGATATCACTACTACTCTGAATCTGGGCCTGCTTTAACATGCTAGTTTTGATACTCCATGATCGCTTCAAAAGTTGGTTCCCCTCTTCCCACACAGTCCTATAGGTCAAAGTTATTCTTCATAATTGCAAAGCAGAACAGGAAAAAGCCTGGCTGGCTTTGCAGTGCGACATACACATATACAATACCAGTGGATGGATTTAGGCCACCACAATAAACCCGTACAATCACATTAGCTTGGATTTGGCTGACCTTTAAATTTGCCATGAAGCCTAAAAGTAAAGTTGACATTTTCAGAAAAAGATAATAATAAAAAAGGGAGAGCTCTTCAGAAACAGCAACAGCAGATACAAAATGCTGATAACCAATGCTAGCATTTTCCTGTGGCTCAAGTATGTGCAGCACATTTGAATGTAATCTGAAATGACTCATTACTTGGCTTTTACTAAACAGCATAACAAAGAAAACCACTTCAACATTTAGGCTTGGCTCAGACTATTGCAGCTTTGCGGGCCGTGTTCGTGCGGGCACGGCAGCCCATTCTTTTTCATGTAGGAAAAAGGTTCCTGCAGCATTTTGAACTCTCCAGCCAGGAAACCAGCAAACCTTGTTGCATTTTTAGGTGTGTGGGGGCACCATTAGGGCTCATGTACATGGGGCATTTGGAAAACTCTTCTGAACGATGGAAACTGACTGCTGGAAAATGTAGGTCAAAACAATGTCAGTTTAGCCGCGTTTATGTGCATTTGCGTTTAGAAGCGTTGAGCCCTTAAGAATAAATGGCAGGTGGTTGAGGGTGCAGGAGCAATTTCCACACTCACAACCACCCACAACAGTGTGAACTTAGCCTTACCCCTGGTTCACACAACAGTGTCCGTGTTTTGCATGGGTTTAACATGAATGGGCTGCAGTGTCTCCCAGAACACAGGAAAAAAGGTCCCTGCACCCTTTTTGGAATTGCTGCCCGCACGGGAATAGCAAGTGCAGTGTGGTTCCCAGTGCTCCTGTGATTTCCAGTGTGTGCTGCTGCCATTAGGATTATTTGCACCTGCATGCATACAGCGCACTTTACCTTTACTGTGCGGGTGGTTGTGGCTGCAGGAACAAGTGCGGCCTAAGGCCTCATTCACATCTGCTGTTTTGGGATCTAAGGCAGAATTTCTGCAATTGCATTGCATAAATGGCAAAACACGTGTTCAGGTGCCATTCATTTTCTATGGCACCTAAAAGCGGTGTGGTTCTGCTGTGACTGCTGCGAGATTAATTGCGGCAAATCAGAAAGTGGAAAAGCTTGTTGCCCAAAAAAGGAGCAGGAGCTTCTTTTGGGTGACAAAGTTTGCCACGATTCCAGCATGATTTATTGCACGATTAAGTGCGTATTGAACTTTTCCAGTACAGTTCAAATTGAGATCACGAGCTGAATCGCATCAATTCTACCAGAGATCCCAAAATGCTAGATGTGAACAGGGCCTTAAAGATACCATCAAGAGGTGTGCTGTTTGTAAGTAGCCATTTTATATTAAGTAATAGTTATTTCCCGTAAAGCTGAAGAACAATACTGAACATTGCCTAGAGTCTACTGTATATGTAATTATCAAATATTTCATGAACTGTGTAAATCTAACCACATATTGTAATCATATGAAATGCTTGCCTTCTGAGCTGATGCACTCTTCAGCCTCTCTTCTTCTTTGTGGTGATGATTCTTTACAAATATGTTCATTCCCACCACAATGGCACTAAAGCTCAGTCACAAGCTAGGTTCTTCTAGAGTATCTCTTAGGAGAATGGCAAGGTCCTGTACTAGAATTCCCAATTATGTCCAATAACCATGGCCACTATAATGGCTGGAGAGGGGCAGATGCGGCTGGCACTGGCTCTCAGCCATGACCTAAAATGCTGTCAACGTGGAAACCAGGTGTGTATCCCAACAACATAGCTCAGGATCCTTCCTGAACATGGCGTGGCTCTGCCCTGTCAACTAGAAGTAAGCAATGGCCCACTATCAGCTGCCTCTGGATTGCAGAAGAAACACTGGTAAACGCAGCCCTGTGATCCAAAAGAGAAGTAGCACATAAAAAGGTTTGGCTACACTTCTCTTTGAAAACCATGTCATAAGCTATTTGCCTGAAATTAATGAAGTAAACAATATTTCCGAATCTCTCAGGACCCTTTATTTGCGATTAAAGTAAGTCCAAGTGGGACAATATTTTTCTTTTCATGCTCAAGACTGCTGATACTGAAAGCACCTTCTGCTAACTGCTTTCCTTTTGGAAAGTAGTGTAGGATCTTTAAATGTGTGACAAAGTTATGCACATGTGATCCCTATTAATGAAATAAGCAATAGAGTTGTGTCTTCTGAAAAGCTTACCTTTATTCCTTCAATCCGAAAGCCCAAAGTGGACGTTGAACTGATGGTCTCTCTCCACTGCATGTATCGGGGTTTAGTCACACCTTGCTGGGCCTTCTCCTCCTCTGTGGGGGCATGAGGATCCACCTCAATCATTTTCTTATACATATCCTTTCTTAGTTTTGGCTTTCCACGGGCTTTCGTCAACTCCTCTTCCAAATATGTCCTGCAGGAAATAGAAACAACATGGTTTATTTTTCTCTGCGGTTTGCTGTTAAACTGGATGTGTGAAGAACATGATTTGTGCTTGAATGTACATTATAGTGACCCCATACAACACGTCAAACCTGACATCACTGGAAAGGTAATACCCTCATCTTGTTACCGATAGGGAGGGAAATGCAGCTGAATCAGGTAGTGCTATTTTTTTCAACGTGTCTTAACGTGGCAAATCTAACCTAATAAAGAAGGTATTTATAAGTCATTACTTCCATCAAAAATCTAAAAACAAAGGGGTTTATTACTTCATTTTAAAGTTGTGGGTAAAGACATGCAAATCCTCCCTTTGTATCAATGGGACAACTGTTCATGTAAAGCTCCATGTACACGGGACACTTCTGAACAACGGAAACTGACTTCTGGAAAACGTAGATTAAAAAACGTCTGTTTAGCCGTGTTTGCATAACGCGTTTATGCGCATTTATGAGCGCTTGCGTTTGAAGCATTTTTTTAAGATAACCTCAGGAGACCTTCCAAAATGCCAAGAAAGCACTGAAAAACAGTAAAAAAAAATTAACTATTTCAGACATTTTGAGCGAAATAGAGAGAGCAGAAGCAGAGAGAGCAGTATTTGTTGAGATTAGCTGTCTTTTTTTGTTGCGGTGTTTGGATGTGTTCCAGCTCATTTCTGTGCAGAAATTATTGCAGCAGTGTCTAACATATTTTCTTTCATGCGAAACCTCAAAGTATGGTGTACCAGGTCCATTTGAGTACCAGGAAACCGCTTTGCATGCATTTTTCATAATGAAAAAAGGCTCTGGACAGCATGTGGAAATGGAAGAGTTAAAAAAAAATTCAAACGCAAATGCCTATAAACGTGGTTAGCCGCGTTTACAAGCATTTAGCCATGTTTACAAGCGTTTTGCGTTTGAAACGCTGATAAAATCTGCTGAACGCAAGTTTGGTGTGTTAAAAAAAACGACTGTAAACTCAACTGCCTGTAAACGAAGATGTGTACGTGGACACATAGGAAAACATTAGGGTGAGTTCAGGGGCTGATGGAAAAAAAACCGCAGAAAAGCTCCTAAACGTGAGTTTATCAGCTGCAGTGTACATGAGCCCTAAAGGTGTAAAGAACAAATGCCGCCTAATATTCCAGTAGTCACTTACTATAAACTGCATACAGTTGTTAGGCATCATCAATCGCTGTTAGGTTTACTATAAAGGTATGTTCTTTTAATCCCACTACTTTGGGCTACTCCATAGAAGCCATAGTTCCCTGTTGGCCAATTTATCTGGCTAATATGACACTATAGAGTAGTAAGGGGATGGTACTGCAACCTCAGGAAATGTTATATGATGCTTTAGTGCTGTAATTCTATTTATTCAGTGTTGTGCTGATGGTGTCCCTATGCATCTAGTGATATGTAGGCTGCTCCTGTGTACCAATCAACTACCACAAAGACCCTAGGATGTAAAGATAATAATCTGAGCTACTCAACCAGCTGCTGAATGTCACAGAGATTTTATATTTTTTTTCTTTAATAAAATACCGCAACCAGTATAAATTACAGTCAAAATCTGCTAGAATAGATGTTAGAAACTTCCATAGGCCCTGATGAAGGGGATGAAGTGTGGCCCCTACAACAAATCGGTTCTTGCTGGGTGTTAATATTTGGAATAAAACCTTAATCTGGATTTAACATTGCAGTGTAGCACTTCTATTTCAGATTCAAATAATCTGAAATTATGGCCATAATGCACATTACGTCTTTAAAGTGGTTCTAAAGTCATAAGATCATTTACCTTAATGCATTCTATGCATTAAGGTAAAAAAACCTTTTAGTGCACCCCCCCCCCCAGATACTTACCTAAATCCTGAATCGTTCCAGCGCTGTGCTCATCTGCAGGTTTCCTCTCCTCCCTCTCGCAGGCTTGGCTCCTGCTGCTGTAAGTCAAATCCAGTGAGGAGGGGGCAGGAGTGGGGCCAAGATGCTCCATGTGTCAATAGACACATATTTGCCACCATAGAAAGTGGCTTCCTATGGTAGCACACACAGAACAGGAGGAGCCTACAGAGCTGGTAGGGGGCCCCACAAGAGGAGGTTCTGGGTTGTTCTGTGCAATTGAATAGCTGTAGAGAATAGAGGGCTGCAGATAAATACAAAGTCCATAATTTATACAGCTTGTCTGAGCTTTCTGGGCATTGAGCTGAAGTTCCACTCTGCAAAGTTTAGTGAGAGCTAACTGGGGGTAAGTCCCCACCTTCACACAGCACACAGAGCTGAGTGTCAATCACAGGGTGTGTGCTGAAGCTTCCTTCCCTGTCACCTTTTTACTACTTGCTATCAGGAACTCTTGCATATGAGGAATGAGGCAGCAGAGAGAAATTACATTTAGTGCACTAGTTTGAGACTAGTACACACTATAGAGGGATATGCTTTATTCATAGTTCATGTCACAGGTTTACAACCACTTTAAATGGTTTACCTCATCCTTGTAAACTGCCACATCTGTAAGAGATTGTTCTTTTGAAAAACAGACTTACTGGCTAGATCACCAGATTAAAATAGAAGAAAGAAAGCATAAAAAGAAAACTAATGCAGCCATCACATCTAAGAACTGGTAAGCTGAAATATAATAAAAGTTTGCTTTTGGGTTTATTACAGCTTTAATTTCTCTTGTAGGCCTCAAGGGCTTTGGATTGTAGAAAAGCATTGTGTACAAAAACCTTTTACAAGACATCTGAAAAGTTTTCTGCAAGCTTCGAACAGCTTTTCTGAAGCCTTTCTCTAGCACCCCTTTGGCTCCCATTTGGGAAGTTTAACACTGATCATATAAGGGAACGCATTCAAACAAGCTGGTATAGTACGATTTCAGCAGGCTTAAAGTGGTTGTAAAGGCAGAAGGTCATTTACCTTACCACATTCTATGCAGTAAAGTAAAAAACCTTCCAAGCACAGTTCCCCATGAAGCCCCCCTAAAAAACTGAGACAGATCTCGATCCAGTGATGAGCACAAGAGCAGAGGCTCTCTTGCTCTTCATTGGCTCAGATACAGCAGCAGAAGCTATTGGCTCCAGCTGCTGTCAATCTGAGCCAGTGACAAGGAACGGGGGCAGGGCCAAGCCCCGCACTATGTATCTTATAGACACACACAGAGCAGGGCTTGGGAACAAGCACACACAAGTTCTCCCAGAGTAAACTGGGAGCCTAGAGTGCCAGTGGGGGACCTGAGGAGGATCGGAGTGTATGACATGTTTGTCATTTTAATAAAACAAAGTTTTACAGTCACTTTAAGAACCACTTAAAATTTACTGAAAGCCTACCAGCAACTTTCATTATGCAACTCCTTGTTTATAGGATATATAAAATGCTGTACGTAAATTGGGCACTTTAGTGATCACGTCTCAAGTCTTAAAGCCAGTATGAAAACACTTATCTTTACAAAGCAAAAAAAAAAAGTTTTAATTATGTGACCGGAGATTCCCTGACAAAGGTCATATTTTCATAACATTCTCCACAATGGTAACCTTCCTTATAAGGCACTTCTCTTTCTCCATAGTAAACTTCTTACTATAAAGGGATGTTCCAGCTATTGTTTCACATCTACTTCTGTTTACACAGGCTGCACAGAATACAATGTGACCATTATGCCAGATATGCTGACTTCCAGTTATATGTATGTTACAATACCCCTACTGAGAATCAGCAAAACATCAACAGCTACATATGCCAAACTATTTCACGTGGCAGTGAGGAGAAGTGTGCAATGTGCACCCGTGCCTTGTAATCTTGGGCTCCAAGTCTGCAATAGATTTGCATTAAGATGCCAAACAAATTAAAGGGTCCTGTACCCCTCCCCAAAACACTGTCCTCTGCCCCCCTTCACATCACCTCCCCCCCTACTGTAGTGTCCTCTGCCCTCCATAGCAGTGTACTGTGCCCCCCACAAACTGTTCTCTGCCTCCTGAAAGCAGTTTCCTCTGCCTCCTGAAAGCAGCGTCCTCTGCCTCCTAAAAGCAGCGTCCTCTGCCTCCTGAAAGCAGTGTCCTCTGCCTCCTGAAAGCAGTGTCCTCTGCCTCCTAAAAGCAGCGTCCTCTGCCTCCTGAAAGCAGTGTCCTCTGCCTCCTGAAAGCAGTGTCCTCTGTCTCCCCATCTCCCAAAGCAGTGTCCTATGTCCATTTCTCCCCCCTCCCCCCACCATAGTGTCCTCTGCCCCCCCATAGCAGTGTCCTGTGCCCCCCACAAAGTTTCCTCTGCTTCATCTCCAAAAGCAGTGTGCTCTGTCCCCTTTCATATTCCATTCCTCCACCCTCCACTGTAGTGTCCTCTGGCCATCCCCATATCACCCCCCCCCCCCCAACACACACACAGCATTGTGTAGGTAGCACTCTCCTGATAGCATTCGTACAGCAGAAGGCAGCATAGTGCTGCCTGGAGGATGGAGCTAACTTTTCATAGTAAGCTGGTGATTGATTGCTAGGACCACCCAATGTCTTAGCAACCAATCATCTGCTTATTAACTCAAAAGGTTAGCTGAGGAAGCTCCCGCCCCCGTCCTCCATCCAGCACTATGCTGCCTCCCGCTCTCCGCTCCACAGTGCACATGAGAGCAGCAGAGGCTGAGAGGAAGCAGAGCTATGTTCATGATCTATCTGACGGCTGCCCTTCGATAGGTAGATCACGACAGACAGCTTGCCAACCGTTATAGAACAAATCCAGTTGAATTTGACTGACTACTACTAGCTATGTTAGCTTGCAATGGGTTTCCCTAGTAATGGTGGGACTATGGATATTCTGTAGTACCTAAGATCCCTTGTACAAACAGATTGATCATTGACATGGTGTAAATGGCGTGTTTTGAGAAATGCATTCAGTTGTATGGTTGTAGCTTACTTTTCATTATGGTCAATCCATAAACAAATCACTAGAGCAGTGGTCTCCAAACTGCAGCCGGAGGCCAGGTGCAGCCCTTTGCTTGCTTTTATCCAGCCCTTGGGGCACT